CCCGGGGGGGGGGCGAAAAAAGGCGCCTTGACGAGACGACCCTTTTCTTCTCCCCATCCTCGTCGGCGCCCAAACCCACGGCGTTACATGTTGGAGGAACGGATCTTCTGGGTTGAAGAGGGAGCCTGCACGGCCTCATCCGGAGTTGCCGCTCCTTCGGACGTCTGGAACGCGACGTTACTTTACTCCTGCCCCTGCGATCGAGAACGGGTTGCGGATTTGTTTAATATCATGGGTCTCTTCTGTAGAAAGAGCAATCGGTCCCTTTAAGGAGCCCAGCGAGGGAGCTGAGAAAATTTTACGGAGCTTCCCTCCCCCTCGGAGTACCTTCGCCTATCGGGGGGGAAAATACAGCAAAGAAAACTTTTTTTTATCTGTCAAGGTACAGATAACCTGCTGGCCTAGGTTCACTTAAAAGGTCCTCGATCACTTAACAAGATGATCCCGGTGATCTCTTAAGACTTATCCCGGTCTATATAGCCCGTCTGGTGAACTGGACTTCGGTCGAACTAGATTTTGATCGCCTGCTGCTTTCTTAGTTTTCTTTCGCCCTTACTCTCCCCCGCTCCTAAAATAAATTCTACCTCTGCGCACGCACTTTCATGGAGCGGCGGCGGCGGCAGGGGGGGTGACTTTCAGAAATGGCAAAACATCGCCCCGCCAACGTCCACGCACTCAGGATCGGGACCGTGCCCTCGCGTGAAGAGGAGCGCAGCTTTCCAGGGAGCATCCGGTGTCAGGCGGGCTAGGAAAGGAAAGCTTCCTCCGCTCTCCCCCCCCGTCCCCAAAAAGTACTCTGCCGCAAACCGCCCCCGCAGAGAGGCAAAGAACTGGCACGCCAGACGAGTGCAGTTAATGACTCCAGTCATTATTAGAAGAAACCGGGGCGGGATCTGGGCCCGATCCTCCGAGCCCTACAGCTGTCAAGGGCATGGGCTTCCCTTGCCATCCTTCGAAATCGCAGGGAACGACTCGAAACAACCCCGATCACACTAAGGAACAGCGATAAAAGTCGGACAACGACGGCGACGAAGACTTAACTACTACAACCCAGCGCTAAGACTCCGTTGATTTCGGAACATGTCGGCACAGGCGCTGTTAAAAATAATAACTATTATACAAACGCTTAGGTTTGCTCGATTACAACCTCCTCCTCTTCTTATTTCTTGTCGTCATTATTATTATAATCATTAGCAAGGGGGAAAGGCACCTCGTCCCAGTAGGCGGAAGATCCTCGGACACACAAAACGCACACACACCCTTTCCAATATACTGACAGCAGGGGAGGCCGTGGCTGCGACCAGGTGCCCCCCCCACAGACCAGATCGCCACGGAGGCCTCCCCGTCCAACAAACTCCTTCCCAGAGAGATATTGACCGGCGGCACCACCATCATCCTAGCCCCAATCGTCTTAGGGGGCAAAACGCAACCCAACCAGGGAGTGCAGCTGTGCAAAGCTGCATGCAGTCTGCTTTCCCATTTCCCGCCGCCGAAACCAAAACACCTCTTACGGGTGCCCCGCGCAGCCCTCGGTTCCCTTCAGCCGCCGCGCCCCCCCCGAACCCTCAGCGCCCGCGGGCTCACCTCTTCTTCTCCTTCTCAGCTGTCATCGTGGAAGCCGGCGCTGCTCTGGGTGGGGTGGGGGCCGCCGCTCTCGCTGTTTTTCCCGCGGGTTGCTCGAAGGCAGAAGTAGGGCGAAGCTGCCCGAGGGCTCCCGTCCGCGGAGGGGGGGGAGAGAGTTTGGCTCCACAAGAGCCGCCGAGGTGCGCAGAGTTCCCAGGCAGAGGGCCTGGCTCGGCCGGCTGAGTGGGTGGGTGGCTGGGTGGGTGGGAAGGTCCCTGGACGACTTTGATAGGTGCCGGGCTGGGCTGGGCTGGGCTGGGCTTTGCGCTCGCTCGCTCCCTCGCTGGCCGGCCTCCCGCGCTCTTCTAACGCGGCAGGTCCCCTTCGCCGCCCAAGGGCCACCGGCGCCCGGACTTCTCACCCGCTGGTGTCCAAGACGAGTCGCCCCCGGGCTGCTGCCAACGCCGGCCAAGTCGCCCCCGAGCTGGCTATACAGTCTCAGGACACTGCCGAGGATTGTACAGCCCGCTCAGGGGAGAGCAAACACGGGGAGCGGGTGCCCGCCGCCCTTCTGTGGGTGCGCTCCGGTCTCCCGCTCTCCTCCTTCTCGCCTCTCCGGCTGTCCGAGGAGGAGGAGGCAGCGAGGCGCCCAGGGCTCCCTTTAAAACGTCAAGCCTTGGCTGAGAGCTCCGAGGGGCCGGCTTGAGGCTCGGGAGAGCCCGGGCGCCCGGCTCCGGCTGGAGCCACAGACGGCGTTCTCTTCCAATGGGCGAGCGAGGCGCTCGGCTTTGGGCCCTCCTTCCTCCCCGCCCGTCCGCCAGAGATGCCAGGACTTGTTGAGAGGAGGTCAACGGAGGGAGGGG